AGAGTTCCCAGCCCATTGGCTTCTGGGCAGGTTTTTAATTCATAAAATATTATTTTAATGAACTAGCAGTACAACACTAAGAAAACTATTAGGGCAAAATTCTAAATAAGATTAATACTAATAACACTGTCCTGCGAATAAGACCTATTGAATAACAGGGGATTCAGTTCTTCTAAGTAGACCTGTTTAAGATTGCTTACTATAAAGGTTAAAACATGATTGTGAAGACAGTTGATAAACTTCTTACTGTTTGTCCTTTGTTGCTTTTCAATATAAGCCTTGTAGGATTTTTTCCCTTTTTCCTGTATGTATTTTAAAAAATTAGCTACATCTGGTGCCATCTAGTGATTTTCCAAGGCCTATTTCTTTTCTTTTGGAGAGGAACATTTTAGTCGTGCATCTGATGTGCATATTACACATTAATATTTAGACACCAAATTCATGCCAACACATTAAAGGGAAATCTGTTTTTTCTTATGATATAAGCACGACTAAGTGCCATTTTCTCAGAGGCCTTCCAGTTATGCTAATTTTGTGGGTTTGCTTTCAGTTTTTCTATCCTGACGCTCAACCCAAACTTGCTATTTACTTGCTCCGTTTATAGTCTGCCTTCATATCAATATACCCTTTACACATCAATCTCCAATTTTGATATATTTATTTGCTTCACTATGTTTCCCCTGGAATTAAATCCAAACAAATGGTGACCATATAAACTAAGCTTGTTATTCCTGTTGGGTCCTTGCATCTGTTAAACATCTTCATTATATTGTATGATAATTGCTCTCACCCTCTACCTATATGTATGGACTGGTCACTTCCATTTCAATGTATGTAAAGAAGTGTGCATACACACAAAAGCTTATACCTTGAATAAAACTTTGCTAGTCTTAAAGGTGCCACTGGACTCCAGTTTTGTTCTGTTGCTTCAGACCAACATGGCTACCCCAACTGAATCTACCTTAAGTATTCAGACACTGAGACGACAACCCTATTCTCTTTTATTAGAAAGGGCTCTCCAGCTCAATTGCAGAGCAAACAGCTGTCATTTACAAGCCCTCTGAACAAGTAATGAGTCGGATCCAACCAGCTTTTTTACTATAGAAGTCCTCTTTCACCACCAAAAAGTCTATACTAGGATCAGTATCCTGCATTGACAGAAGCCATGTAGGACAGGAGCTATAATAATGAGGGGAACTGGACAAGATTAAATGAAAAACATGGTGAGATCCAACCCAAGATGTGTTCACATATCTGACAAAATGGGGGATGGGGTTGGACTTGTGACACAGAAGCTCACAGGTTAAGAGTCCCAGCAGTGATGGAAAGGAACAGTTTGACTCTTGAGTCACTTGTAGGATATAACCAGTTTTGTTGCACTGGGAGAAGCGTTCTTTGGTGTAAGCATCCTTAGGCATAATTGTCCATATGAAGTCCAAGGAATTGATCAGATGGAGCCAAGAGCAGGCAGGTCTACTATCACACCTTATAGCACAGAATCCTATATGCCTTCATAGCATACTGGTGTGAAAAGTCCAATGCAAATATTGCACCTCTCTTCTCTTACAGAGGGGAAATGGACACAGCCAGCTTCTTCCTGCAATATCTGATCTGCAACAAGACACTCTTGTCTTCAGCTGTGGAAGCATCCAGTCTACAATGGTGCTCACCAGTTATAGGGAGCAAATTGCCATGTGGCCTATCTGTTCATGGCCTGGCCCATTTCAGGTGGGGGGGGAGGGACTGAATGTTTGAATATTCCAGAATATGCATTTTTCACTATTGCATACAGTAGTCACATAGAGAAGATATACATTAGATTTCTACCTGGATTGCTAGTGTTCTAAATGTGAGCAATGTTTCACGTAGAGGAAGACTCAAACATGTGATTCCCCACACACACCAGTAGTCCGAAGTGGGACAGCCCATTCACTGGTACATCACTGGGACGTGTGCTCATTTATCCTAACATTAAGCAGAAAACTTAGTAGTGAGGAGATTAGAAGGAAAAAACCGTAGACCCTTCAGCTCAAAGTTCAAGACCTTGCCTTTTCCCTCTACAGAACTAATATCCCTCTGTATCACTGCTTTTGACAAAAGGGACTATAAAACAAAGCATTTCCTGGCAGCTCATGATCAGAAGGCTGAAAGACCTACAGCAGTCTCTTAGCTAGGTCTCGGCTGCCAGGTAAAAGGACTTCTCCTCTGGCTCTGCTCTTCTACATGCTTAGCACCATCACTCTGCAGGACCAGTCAGGGAAAAGGGAAGAGCCACATTCATAGGCTATGAGTTTACATTAGAGGAAATGCTCTGGCTCCCTCCAAAGAATCCTGAGCACTGCAGCTCGGTACAGATTTTAAGAATTCTCTACCCTCTTCCCTGCATATAATCAGAGCTCCCCGAGTTTCTCAGGAAGCAGGAAGACAGCTAAATTACAGCCTCTCATGCAGATGCTCCCATCATTGGCTGGGTGACCTCTGCACTTAAATCATTCCCATTTTTGCACCAAAGATTCCCAAACTCTGAATAAAAGTTTGCCAGGATTTAATTAATCTGCATAATTCATTCTACTTTCAAGGTCCACGTTTTTCAAAGAGTTGTTTGTAATGTTTGGGCATACGCTGGAATGGCAGGCAAAGGTTTTTATGGCACTAAAGGGTTTCTTCAAGATGCTTTACAGAAAGGGAAATGACAGAGATAAACAGTTGCCAGGAATCCGAGTGTGAACTACGCACAGATTTATGCCAGTGCAGGGTGGTTTGTTACATGCGGGCCACTTCCCAGTAAAGGACTTGCAACAGCAAAGTGCTGGAACTGCAGGAACTTTATGGATTATTAATCAACATGTCAGTAATGTTAAGCTATATATTTTCAGTTAGGCAAATGGGCATTCTCACCCTGGCTCTTTGTTGATCTCTGGCTCTGAGTTTTGACATAAAAGGTAAAGGTAAAGGTTCCCTTGCTCGAAAGCCAGTCAAGTCCGACTCTAGGGTTGTGGTGCTCATCTCCCTTTCAAAGCCGAAGAGCCAGCGCTGTCCAAAGACGTTTCCGTGGTCATGTGGCCGGCATGACTAAAAACCAAGGCGCACGGAACGCTGTTACCTTCCTACCGAAGTGGTCCCTATTTATCTACTTGCAATTTCTTGCTTTCGAACTGCTAGGTTGGCAGGAGCTGGAACTAGAGATGGGAGCTCACTCCATCATGCGGCACCCGGGTCTCGAACTGCTGAACTACTGACCTTCCACAGCCTGCAGTTCAGCGTCTTAACCACTTGAGCCACCGCAGCTCCATGAGTTTTGACATAGTCAGATTCTAATTAAAAAAGGCTGTAGGGCCACCTTCATTTAAAGCTCAATGCCACTATGCTATCTCCCTCTTCTAATTTTTGGGACTTTCTTCAAATACTGTTCGCATGCTTCAAAGTCCTACGGACTTGACACGTGCTCTTGTATTTTATCTGAAAGGCAATAACCTTCAAAATGGTAGAAATAAGATTCTGCACTGACAGGATGAACTCAACTGATTTCACCCACACAACCCTCTTCATGGTGTGTAAGTAACTAGAAGCAAGCCTTTCTAAAGGAAACTGGTGTGCAAATGTGAAGACAGGCAAAAGGCAAGATAAAAAGCTTATCCTGTGAGATAACAGCAGAGTTCAACCCCTTTCCCTGTTACATCGCTACCTGTGGGAGAAGTCAAAAGAGAAACCGTGTGATGATAGTCTACAGGGTGATGATAGTCTCTGCCAAGATCTTCTTTGCCTGCTTGAAACCCTGCCCATGTATGGGCAGTGCTTATGATTTATAAACAGGAGCCGAAGTGGAAAACTACTAACGGGAACTCTTTTGCACAGTCCAAACACTGGGGGAAGGGGCTTATGGGTACGCTTTAACAAGAACTGGAAATTCTGAGGGAATCAGGCTCCCCCCCCCCCGTGGGGCTTCAATTAAGCAGTTTCAGCAAAGAAATGTTTTTGTCTCTAATTGGTCATTTATGGGGGGGGGGGTTTGAATCCAGAGAAGTGATGCTTAGCTCATTCGCACTTCCCGTATGCAAAACTATGCACCACTTTCGCTGGCAGTAGAAACTGTGAAGGTCACCACTAAGGGGTAAAGAAAAACTAGGCTGCACCCAGCAATGTGCCAACAGAACAAAAAAGGAAAAAAAATGCCAAGTGATTGATGGCTGACTTATTAAGCAAAGTCCCTACGCGTTTTGCCATGCAGGCTTTGTCAGGGGGAATCAGAACATTCACCTAGTGCTGGAACTCTCCACGGCAATTAAATTCTTTAATTGCTATGGACAGTTCCAGCACTAGGTGATGAAGCCTGCACGGCGAAATCAGTCATCTCTCACCCGGCATTTTTTCCTTTTTGTTCTGTTGCCCCTAAGGGGAAACATTTTAACATTGCAGGCTCGCCCAATTACTGTTTCAGTGCTTTAAATTTTCTTTTGACAACTCTAAGCCTTGAAACTTCTGCCCTCCTCTGAGCTAAACTTAAGTCATGATTTGAACTCTGAGTGGGGAGGAGTGTTAATATATTTCCTGGGGCTTGCTGAGGACCCAAAATCCAGCCTTCAAGAAGCCTGGACATAAAAAATACAATTACATGATTTCTAAGATCTGTTTTACAAACCGTATTTCATGAGTTTCCATTTATTACAGCAGAGCTATCAAAACATTTGTTTCCCCTTTTTTTATATCCCTGGTATTAAGTCATGACAGTCCTTTGATAGAGAATTAATTTTTGTTCTGGGGCTGCGCTGACCTCTTGGAGCACTACACTGTCCAAATGGAATGGCACATATTAAGGGCTGAATTCCATTTGTCATGTGGATATGGCCAGAGTCCAGGCCCTGAAGAGAGAAACATGCCCTTTGAGGCAACACCTGACCTGGTACTAAAATAAAGCAACAACTGGTAGGAGGAGAAGGAGTTGTAGCAAGCACATACTTGGATGATAGTTTCATTAGGTCTTGATGAAAGCCATACGGTACCTTTGTGGCCAGACGACACTCCATCACCCTGATATTGTAATGAGAAGTTGCCGCCTTATTCATCTCAATGCAACTGTTTGCAATAACAAAAGCCACTCCTCTTGGAAGTCTCACATCGGTTGCCCTCAGAGGACTGAATTCTATCAGCTTGGCCTGTGGAAAAGAAAAATGAACACCAGGGAGGGTCATTTCAACTGGTAGCCAGCAATACATTAAGACCAATAAATCAAAATGCCATTATTCTCGGGAGCTTTTTTCCTCTCTCTCTCTCTCTCTCTCTCTCTCGAGGATGCTGTTTAAATGGGGGCACAGTGACACAGAACTGCGAGAAAAGTCCCTGCCTCTCCAGCAACCAAGGTTATCAGTCAAATGTGAACCCTTTTGTCCTTCAGAGTTGCATTTGAAGAGTTACTGATGACCAAGGAGGCTTGAATAATCAGTAACTCAAACAATGCTCTTGACTAGATGCCTAAGTTGGGGGTGGCCACCACCCCCATCCCAGGCCTCTTGGAGCTATAGAAAACTTCCACTAAGGTATGGTAAAAAGGGTGGCCATAGTAATGAAAAGTAAATCAGTGTCAAGTAGCAAGCAATGAAGGCAACCCACGCTGTATCTCTCTGCTTCAATAGCATGCTTCTTGTCCACATCTGCTGTCACGCCCCAACTATTTGGAGGTCAGTCCTGGCTCATATTGAGCCCTTCACCATTGCACCACCAGCCTTTCTTAAACTGGGACTCAATGACTTGTCAGTTCACTCTCAGGTGGTACGTACAGTTCCTTTCTCTGCAAGAAAGCAGATGGATTGGTCCATGCCGCCGCCTTCTGTGCCAACGTAACGTTCGCTTTTGGTGCAAAGTTCGGCCAGTTCCACCTGAGAAAACACAGAGCTCAATACGCAATGGGGAAGAGATGCTCTCCCCCCCTGCCCGCCCCCAGACATTCTGGACAACTGAACTCATGAAAGGGTAAATGTGTGTGTGTTTGTTTGATAGGCCTCTGAGATCACTACAGTTTCCCACACATTCCATACCAGTTGCCTAAGCTTGTGATATCGTACAGGTCCATCTCTAAGCAGGTACTGGACAATGTGTTCTGGAGTCTCTCACTCCTTTTTTATTTTCCCTTCATCCAATGTATGCCAGGACTTCTCTGCCTCCGGCACACCTGCAAAGGCTGAACACTGTACTGAGCCACGTGCATTTAAAAGGCACTCCTATTCTGCTTCACTGCAGTTGTTGCCAGACAAAGCTGGGCCTGGATAGTGGAAGGCCCTACCAAAGTCTAGACCTGGGGTGGGGTGGGGATATATGCTCCCTTCTTAGGACACCAGAGGTTGGGGCTTAAGCAGCAATTGAAGTGCAACAAGCACCAGCCAGGTTCAAAGTATTTATGCCAGGCCTGATCCACCCTGCAAATAGGTCTGTGATGAGGGCAGGGATTGGTGTGAGGCTTGCTGGTGTCACAAAGGGGTGGGTGACTCCTCGAAGCAATGATGGGCACTTTCACACATAATAAAGAATGCCCTTTCAACCCACTTTCAATGCACTTTGCAACTGGATTTTACTGTGTGAAATGGCAAAATCCACTTACAGTCACCAAAGTTGATTGAAACAGCATTGTTTAGCATGCATGAAAGCGCCCAATATTTCCCTGTTTCTCCCATGCAGAAGAGGCATTTGGCAGGCTCTTTCCCAAGTGTATGTTCCCCAGTGCAGTTCAGGAAGAGAAGGCAGACAGACAGGTTCCAGATACAAAACACCTACTACCAGGCTATTCTTTGCTGCCGTTTTGCCTATTTACTTTGCCTATTTTGCTCTTACTTTTCTCAAATAACTCCCTAAAGTAATATATTACAATTTTGCCCGGGGACTACAACAGTTGCCCTTGATTATCACAATGCACCTTTTGTTCTTCTTACAACTACAGCTGATGTCATACCTCCTGGCTGCTGTGATGTCACAGCTTGAAACATCTGAGCAAGCCGGAATGACTGAGCGCGTAGCTCTAAGGCAATGGAGATACATTTTGGCTTCTAACAGTGAAATCTATAGGCCACTTTTAGAACAGGAATGCGACTGTGCAAAGGGCTCTTGAGCAATACCCTGGAATCTGCACCCTGGTTAAGAAATCTTGAATTATGCCGGAAAGTCTGGTGTATCATAGCAGAAGCACAGATGGCTTTAGGAGAGGATTAGAGAGATTCATGGAGGAGAGGTCTGTCAGTGGCTACGAGCCATCGTAATTAAAGTAGGGTTCCCAGATGTCCTCTTTGTAGAGGACATGTCCACTTTTGGGGCGATCCATCCTCTTTTTGGGCTTTTTAAAAAAAACTGATGAAAATGTCCTCTTTTTGGGTTGGGAGGCTGAGCCTGTTTGGCCCTTCAGTCCCCCAGCGAAGGCAAGCTCCATCTTAAATAGTAGGGGGGTAGTTAAAATTCGGTGGGAAGGTAACAGCGTTCCGTGCGCCTTGGTGTTTAGTCATGCCGGCCACATGACCACGGAAACGTCTTCGGACAGCGCTGGCTCTTCGGCTTTGAAACGGAGATGAGCACCGAAACCCTAGAGTCGGACTCGACTGGCTTTCGAGCAAGGGAACCTTTACCTTTACCTTTAGTTAAAATGAGATTTGCCACAGTGATCAGTTGTTTGAAGTAGTCAGTTGGGAAATATGCCCTCCTTTTTGCTTTTCAAAATATGGCAGCTCTCTAGATTAAAGGGAGCCTTCCACATGAGAGGCACTAAGCCTCTCAGTGTCAGTGCTGGAGGTCAACAGGGGGAAGCCTCGGTTTCTTTGTCCTGTTTCTTGTCCTTCCAGGGCGTCTGGTTAACTGTGTGAGACAGAGTGCGGGCGTAGAGGGATCCCCAAAACGACCCCGTAGGGCTTTCCCATCAAGAACTCACCTTACAGAATGGCTTTCCTGAGGAGGTAAAGGAGGCTTCCGCTCTCCTGGCATTCTGCAAGCTGTACAGAACTGAACTATTCTGGAGGGCATTTTCACAAAGGAAACAGCGTTGTATTAGAACGATTCAGGAAGAATGTTTTAAAAAGGGGAAAGAGACTGTGGACTATACTACTGTGAACAGTGTATGCACGGGATGTCGTATAGTGTATGAAATATAGTTTGGTACGTATTGTACTGTCTGTTTGCTGTATGTATTATCCTATTACGCAACTTCATCATTTCATGAGGGGAACCCACAGCAAGCCAAAGTGGGGCCGGGCGTAGTGGCAGTTGCAACTTGCATGGCATGGGCCATATAGCCAGGAGGGTATATATAGCCTTGGCCCTTACATGTCTTGCGAGAAGCAGAGGAGCTGGAATTATCTGAGACAGTGACTTAAACACAACCAGTCCTGGGCTGGGAAGGACTTCCAAAAAAGGCCAGAGAAGGGGTCTACTGCATGCTTTAAAATCTCTTCCCCTCTAGAACTGAAGCCCTGGGCTTTACCCTGTGTCGATTAGGGCATTCGGTGGGAGGAAATGGAATAGCCAGGGCAACACTGGGCTGCTATCTACCACTGGACCCTGCTCTGCTTGCTAAATTACACAATCCCTTCCACCTTTCCTAGCTGCTTATAGAGTTAAGATACCCCAGAGGTCACCAAAGCTTCCATCAAGGGATCCTGGGAAATTACAGACAGAATAATGCATATGCATCACTTGAAATTAAGGCACTGCATCAAACACAAGGAGCACGAGCACTGTGCAAAAAAAAAGGGGGGGGGAAGGATTCAAGCATGTGACATATTTTCAGATTTTCTTTCCCACCAGAGTAGTTCATCTCAGGGGCCTGAAGCTAGATAACCACCAAAGTAGTGACATTACCCAGCACAGGGCTGGAAGATAAAGTCAGTAATTAGTGGCCTTTGGAAAGGAGTGATGTAGGTTTCCATGAGGGCTCTGGAAACAGACAAGCTGTAAAACTCATAGCTCCTTAATCAGGGTGAATGGCTTACAAATGCAGTGGAAACTGATAGACTCCCTTCGCAGTGCTCCTTAAGTCATGTCAAGTCCCCCTCATAAACTTCTAGTTAAGAAGACAGAGCTGTCAAAAAAGGATTAATGAAAACTTGAACATATGCACAGCGTTTAACGTGAATAAATGCTTCCAGGAGACCAAGATGCATTTATTGGTGTTCCTGGGCTCAACAGATGCTTTTAATTTTTTTTTTTTTAAGGTGACTTGTTCTTTCTTTAATGCATTTTGGGAGGTAACTCTAAAATCACTAATGATGAATTACATAGTTATAATCTTTTTTTGTTTTGTTTTAGTGATTGGAAAACGTGAGTACATTCTGCTCCACAGCTCCACAGCTCCTACTCCATTCAACTTTGCCCCTTAAATATATTTTAAAAGGGTTATTTAAATAGTTATTATTTTAACTCAGTTTTCCCTTGATTTTTCAATGGCCATCTGACAGCAATGCTGATTCTGTGATTTTACGCAGATGACAAGAAAGGAGGGCAGGAAGGTTTGCATCAGTGCTTAGTTCTTGTGGCCCTTTCTTACACGCCCAGGGAAATCTCCACTTTGGGGTCAGGAAGCAATTTTTCTCCAAGCCAGTTTGGCCAGGGATCCTGGAGGGTGTTGTGTGTGTGTTTTTGCCCTCTTCTGGGCATAGGGCAGGGTCACTGGGGGTCAGGGGGAGGTATCTGTGAATTTCCTGCATAGTGCAGAGGGTTGGTCTAGATGGCCCTGGAGGTCGCTTCCAACTATATGATTTTGATTCTGTGAACTTGGTGAGATCTGCTTCAATAGATACATGCACAGGATAGTAATGCACAAGGTCTAAAGAGATCAGGTCCCCTATAAAGCTAATAATTATATTGCAGGGAATTTTTGTAGGTGCAGCTTCTCATACTGAGGTGGTTGTCCCATGTAACAAAAAACCTTGGTACACACATAAAAGAATAACAGAAAGGAGGGTTCTTCCCTGTGTCTCTGTGTGTGTTAAGTGCTGTCAAGTTGCAACCCTATGAATTAATGACCTATTATTAACAGCCATTGTCAGGTGAATTAATGACCTATTAATGACCCTATGAATTAATGACCTATTATTAACAGCCATTGTCAGGTCTTGCAAACTGAGGGTGGCCCTTGTGGCTTCCTTGATTGAGTCAATCCATCTCATGGGTCTTCCTCTTTTCCTCCTGCCTTCTTCCTAGCATAATCGTCTTTTACAGTGACTCATGTCTTCTCAGAATGTGACCAAAGTACGATAGCCTCAGTTTAGTCATTTTAGCTTCTAGGGAGAGTTCAGGCTTGATTTGATCTAGAATCCATTTATTCATCTTTTTGGTAATCCACGGTATCCATAAAACTCTCCTCCAGCAACACATTTCAATGGAATCTACTTTCTTCCTGCCAGCTTTCTTCATTGCCCAGCTGTCACACCATACATAACAATGAGGAATACTATGGCACGAATTAAATTTATCTGGTTTGCCTGTGACACATTTGTATACTTAAGGATCTTTTCTAGCTCCGTCATGGCTGCCCTTCTCCAGTCTCAGTCTCCTTCTAATTTCTTGGGTGCAGTCTCCCTTTTGATGGTGAAACAGAAAATTTTGGTTGATGAAGAAATAGATAATCTTTAACAATTTCAATTTCTTCATTGCCAACCTCAAAGTTATGTAATTTCACAGTAGTCATTACTTTTCTTTTCTTGATGTAATCCTGCTTTGGCACTTTCTGCTATAACCTTCAGCAGTAGTTGTTTCAAGCCTTCACTGTTTTCTGCCAATAATGTGGTGTCACCTGTATATCTCAAACTGTTAATGCTCCTTCCACCAATTTTCACTCCACCTTCATGTAAATCTAATCCAGTTTTCCTTTATATGCTCTGCATACATATTGAAGAGATAGGGA